ATATCTACAAAATTAATAGCGATTAAGACTTTTTAATGGCCTAAATTTATTACGTTTTAAGACTTTTTATGACAGCATGTTACCACAATATCTTATATATTTTCTAAAATAAATGCATAAAATAGTACTTTAGCAGTTTTATATAAAAGCTGGGTATTTTAGCTTTTTTCATAGATAACAATTTTGCCATGAGGGGGTGGTGATGGCGCAATGGATAAGACTATGCCTTTGGTGTGAGAGACCCAGGTTCAATCCCCCATTGTGACCCTGAGACACTTAACCCCTAGTTGCTCCAGAGGCGTGCGACCTTTGACATCTATAGCAATTGTAAGTCGCTTTGGATAAAAGCGTCAGCTAAATGAATAAATGTAATGAATCCAGGTTTATAGACTATAACTTGTACTTTATATGCAAACTATATATTCTTTCTCAAATCGTTCCCAGCATTTTTAACATTAGGCTACTTTTGTTGTTTTGTAGAGCACACTGAAGTGTGCCTTAAGGACAAACAGTGGATTAATTCCTATTGTCCTTTGGATATTTGAATCATATGATAACGTGAATGTTATTGTGTCCACCTTCTGTAGCCCTTAATAGATCACTATGAAACATTCCTCGTTGATTACTTACATTAAGACAATATTTTTCTGTATTACAGGTTTTCTGTAATGTTATGTTTAAATATGCAAATGAGGCAGTATGTAATAAAATATGCGCTAATTTGCATCAACTTCAAGAACTAAAATCTGAACCCTGAAATAAATCAAAATTCCATCAATTGTCAACCGCTTATCCTGCTGGAGCCTATCCCAGCAGACATCAGGCGAAAGGCGGGGTACACCCTGAACAGGTCGCCAATCCATCGTAGTTTAAGTCAAAATTGTTTTATTTTGTTGGCACATTATACTTAAATGTTTTACAAAGGGGATTTTGGATATCTCTTTTTATTATTTCATAAATCAACAGGCATACAAAAAATTATAACTGGAAATTTTAGGCTCAGATTATGAGGAAAAACTCATTTTGAAAAAACATCCTGTAAAGATAAGTACTGTAGAGTTCTACACATTTTCATTGCATCAATGTTTATAATTTACAGACATAGTATGGAATCAAATTCTTAACAACAACAATATGTAACATCTCAAACACATCAGATCTGATTTCTGAGTAAAAGTTTGTTGATGTTTGAACCGACACACTTTCACACAGAAACAGACAGAAACACCTACAGAAAGCTAAAGTAGGAAGTGTCAAATTACACCAAGTGACAGATCTAAACCAATCACATTGTTAGAAATCAACACTAGCCAATCGGATTTCACATTTTGTTTAAATCTGGATTACAATTGTTTAGTTGCACTCTTTGCTTTGTCATGAAACAGATGAGAGGGTCTGGCTGCTCTGCCTGTTCTCCTCAGAGTTAACTGAACTGGGTTCAGCAGGCCAGACTGGGAAGCCGTTGTGGCCCCAGGGTCCGTCCAGGTGGGGAGTAGAGCCAAAGGGAAGTGAGCTTATGCTGCTGTTTTAATCAGTGAGGTGTCTGAGGACACAAAAGTTCAGCAAGATCACAAATAAACAACCTCAGCTCCATGAGGCCCCTGTGATCCCAACAATATGCTTAAAGGGCCTATGTGCACGTCATGTAGCAAACAGTTCAGCTTTCTTTATAACCACATGACACCTTCCCCACTCCCTCAGTGGGGCGGGTCCACTGTCAAAGAGTAAAACATCTACAAAACAGAAAGAACAGGTCAGTCTTGTTTCACATTTATCATCTCTGCTGCTAAATGTCTGACTCAACCTGACATTCAGCGATCAAGAGGTTATCACTGTTGATCAACTTAGGTGGTCCGCTGTCAACAGAAACTACAGAGCAGGACAAAGTCTGATGTCAGGTTCATCAGCTCTGCTGTCATGGTCGCTTTAACATCAGCACCATTCCTGGCTTTGTTCACATGTTCATGGATCTTGGTTCTGTGTCAAGGTAAGAGGAGTGTGTGTGTGTGTGTGTGTGTGTGTGTGTGTGTGTGTGTGTGTGTGTGTGTGTGTGTGATTCATACATGTCATCAATTACGGAAATACGATTCACATAACGTGCGTCGACTCATCGCTGCAGCTTGTTGTGTGGGGATATTTACAACATATTCATTATATTATTGATTCAAATATATGTTGTAGAATTTGACTCAGCCGAATTACAGAATTTGTAACCTCCTAAAGTTTATTATGAGCTGACTTGTGAACAGAGTCTCCACCTCTGACCTCTGTTCCTGTCCAGCACTGTAGTTTACTGTGTGGACGGATGGACAGCAGAGACCAACATGTGTCCTCTCCCCTCTCGTGGTGTCTGTCCATGCAGATCCAGCAGCTTCATTTGTCTCTCTGAGAAGTAAAGCAGTTTCATACTGTAGGGACTCTTTCCTCAGTAGAAGTAGTTCAGACACAGTTTGAGTAGAGGACGGGCAGACTGGGGACACATTTGGAAAACAAGGACAAAGATTCAAAGCTTCTAGGAAATAATAAACTTCACTTGTTTAATATTTCAGCTGTTTGTTACATTAGTTTAGCCTTAGCTTCTTAGCCTCAGCTAACTTGGTCATGTCAAACTAGGCGGGCGTGATTCCTACAACCTCAGCTCTACTCACAACCCGCCTCTTTGCCCATTTTTTGTTATCCGGCAGTAGTGATGGCAAGTTCGACTCTTTTGACAGACTCGAATCTTCAAATCTCGTTCATTAAAATGAACTAATCTTTTTTTGAGTCATTTCATTCATTTGAACTAGGCTGGTTACCCAGATAGCAGCTGACTCTGGGCCGAATCCGCCTCCAAACCGGCAGATCCGTGTAACAGTCACGCCCGTTTTACTGCCCCGTTCCGGATACGGCCCGCATGTAGTCTGTGTGCACTCAGGATCGGGCGTGAGCCTCCATCAGTCGGCGGAATCATAATAGTTCTGGCCCGGACTCGTCGGAACGAGCGCGCGAACTGTTTCTTTCTTTGGATCAGTTCGGACTGGAGGCTTTGTGGACAGAGTTTATAACAGTAAGTTGAACGATGTTACAGTCAAACAGTTTAGTGTGATTGTTTTTAATAGTGGTGTAATGCTTGTTAACATCGTCACATCGGAATGTTTTGACCGGGTTTTAACTTCTTAAAATGGCTAAAACTGTTGAAGAGTCATTGGCTAACGTTAGCTTTTTAGCTGGGTTAGCTAAATTAACTGAATGAAC